TACTATGCGATACTTCCACTTTATGTACTTCCATGTCACCGGGTGGTCTTTCACGAGCTTTGATAGGGATCACTGCTTTAGCCGTCATAATCCATCAGACTACCACCTGAGGATAATCATAATCTCATTCTGTGCAGTCAAAACAGCCTGTGCGGTGGTTAATTCTTTATGCCGTTCTTAGTATACGATTGCGTTTCCGATTGTCATAGTCTGAATTGCTTGCTTAATTTAGTTTATATCCACTATATACGTCCGCTTTGGTCTCTTACCGATGAATATAAGAGTTTTTTGATTAATTTCTCTTTCAATCATTATCTGATTTCAGTACAGTTATTATGGTCTACATCTGACCGACATGGCAAGTCTGTCCTTGAAGCCACATCTTGTTGGCTCTCTGACCGTAGATTGAGCATTCTTGTTTCCACTGCTTGCCGTGTTTATGGAGTTCACTGAACTTTTTCACCGAACGCCCTCCTACTTGCCTTTACCAGCCTGGGAGGGCGATCACTTCATATGTTTGTACACGCGTGGGTTTTTGTGTCTTGTGCAACGCGAGTTAGTCGCATCCTATTAAGCATAGTCGTAGTGATAGTCTTTCACTGCATGTGCAATATTAATTCAAACTGTTACTTATCTGGTGTTAATTAAATTTTTGTAGGGCGAACTGGAAGCTCAACTTCTGAAGGCCAATCCTATCTTGGAGGCTTTTGGCAACGCTAAGACAATAAAGAATGATAACTCATCACGATTTGTGAGTTGGTTTTTCGCCTCCAGGATTTCGGTATTTCAAAGCACTTTTGACACTTAATCTGCTTGCACCGTCATCTGCTATTTATGTATGTTTACTGACGACTTTTAAAGGCCAGCATAACAGTGATTCTGCACTGCTTTAGAAGTTTCAGCTACAATCGCATGACGGGGCCTACGGTTATGACGACTTAAGTACATATAACAGGACCTAATTTCCTTTCTTTCGTTTCGAAAAGTTGAAGTTCTCTAACATATCTATAATTAAACAGTAAAAAGTAAGTCAGTTAACATATCTCACAAGACAACATAGAATAAAACATATACTTCACGTCGCCTATAGTATTTCATTTTGTCCGTTACGTCACGTATTGATTGTGCTATTTCAATTTTAGGGCAAGTTTATTCGGATCAACTTTGATACCTCCGGATTCATCGCTGGTGCTAACATCGAAACATGTATGTGTTACAGTATTGTCCTATATTTTTTGCAATCTCCTTTATCCGGTTCTTCAACCTTCCTGTCATGCGCTAATCGAAAGCTGTCTATGCTGCGACTTCGTGAT